GAAGCAGTTTTGCAAATCGCAAAACGTGACAGAGATGCCAATTGTAAATGAAGGTCAGACGACACTAAGGTCAGAGAGTAACCCCATGATCACAGTTGGGGGGCATGAATCACAATTGCAGCGTGCTACCCAAAGTCAGCAACGCCATGCAGCTTTGGAGGCGACTTCAACAAGTATGCCTCTAAGTCATTCTAAGTTTGCAAAGACTAATACTAGCAATAGTCCTCTTACTCCTGGGAGGCATAAACCAACTCAGGTGCAGACATGTCAGCCATCCATCAATGAAGGTCCATTTGATGGTCGACAACAGGCTGATGCTGCTACACAAAAGCCAACACTTTGGCCAGCATCAGAACATAAATCTGATAAGGTATCCACCTCATCTATTTCTACTTCTTTTGAGACTAATGAGCATATTTCTTCAACCTTGCTTAAGAAGTGTTCGCGGCGACCATGCTTTCTTAATGGTCGAAGCCCTTCCAAGTTCAATTATAGACAATGGCTGAAGGTGAAATATCCTTTTAAAGTTGTTAGTCTGAAGAGGGGAGTCATTTCCAATCTCGGGGGGCAACCTAGTCAGATTGAACAACAAAGGTTGCAAGACCTTATTGCCAATGAAGTTCACAAAGCTATAGAAAATGAGGTAGCAAGGTTTGTGCCATTGCAGCCTGATGCCAATCCAAGCATCCAATCAATGTCACCACAGCAAAAGCATGTTTGCAAGCCCAGACTACCTCAGCAACTTGCAAACTCATTGCCAAAGGCCACTCGGGAGGCATGCAGGCCACCATGTTGTCTAACATGCCGTAGGCCATATTCAAAAAATAATGATTCTTTCCAAAGTGGCTTTCACAAGAAATTCTCAAATTTTCCTTGCAGCCACAAGGATAACATGGGAGGCGACATAAGAAACACCATGCCTTCGCATCTACCAAGTCGAAAAAGGAGGAAGAAATCTAAAGACCTCTATTGCACACCAATGAAGGAACAAAAGCAACAAACCCATGTCTCTGAGTGGAGGCACGGGGGGCATGATCTCGTAGAAAAGCATGGAGGCATGTGCAAATGCTGCCTCTATGAACAAAGTCAATTTAGACATTGTCGCCATATAAACTTGGTGGCCTGCCAAGAGTTCCCTACCCAAAATCCTAGGACTCTTCGAAGGCGGATTCAAAAGAAAAGAGCTAAAGAGCATCGGAGACATGTTGCCGAGGTGCATGCTTCGCAAAGGCAACAACCGCCATGGAGGCAAAAGTTTATTTGGGTGGAGAAGAAGAAACACAGTGCAGCTTCTCAAGAGGCAAATCAAAATTTAGTCAATGCAATCGTGTCTCCAAAGACGTCTGCCAAGTGTGTTCCTTTTAAGTCAAATGACTCAAAGGCAGCTAAAGAGCTTAATGTCAACAGCAAAACAATTAGCCTTGGTGAGTTTATTACTGAACTTCCAAGTTCCAATCCAAATCTCCCTTTTGTTTTCACAAGGAAGAAAGATGCAGCCTCTAGTAGCAAAGGGGCAGCAAAGAACAAAGCAAACATGCCTGCCAAAGAAAACAAAGGGAAGAATCATAAAAAAGATGCTGCAACCTTTGTTCCAAGAGGAGGAATGCTGCCGTCAACTAAAAGCATGCTGCCTAGGAGACATTCTGCTAACAATATGAAATCTTTGCAAATGCACAAGGCATTAGATGAAGGCACATACTGGCTACAAAACCTTGACGGTAGTCTGCACCTCACAAAAATAAATGGCATACCTTTTCAGCCATGTTGCCCTTCGGTCTGTAAGTCATGCAGTAGATCGAAGTGGAAATAATCTCTTTGCCTAAGTCAGGTTTGGGTGGAGATCAGCTTTAATTTAGTTTTTGTTTTTAATTTTCTATAATTAGTGTGAATAATCTTGCAGTTGAGCGGCTTTAAGGAAAGCTGTGAGATGGCATTGCTTTTAAGACATGCATTTTATGGAGGCGTGCTTGATTTATGTCTCCATGTCAACCAACAAGGGAATTCATGGAATTGTTCTTTTTGGAGGCTATATTTTACCTTTTTTGCAGATACACTTTTAGCTGGCTTATTTATCTATGAAGCCACTGTGTCTGTTAGCCATGTCTGCCAGATGATATTTCATGCTATGCTGAAGAAAACAACAATATCAAATTTCTACGTTCTTGGAGACATTATGCTTCCTTTACAATGGCCACATGGCGAGGAGTGCTAGGAACAAAATTTTCAAAACTTGATTCCACTTCCATGAAGTCGTGCAACCAAGTTTTGGGGGGCATTGTTTACACCCATTTTTTCAAAATAGTATAATGATGCCACGTGTCATTCATGTTGGCAGATATTTCATTAGTTGGAAGTTGTTGGAGTAAATCTCTCTGGATAAGGTTAAGTGGTTATTTCCACAACTGCAGCAAGGTTGTTGGTTTGTTGCGAACTTCCAGGAGAATAATTGGCAGAATCAACAGAATAATCAGTTTGTTTCAGATTTCATGCTGCCGTTGATTGTCAAGTTGCTGCC